CTGCCTGCGCCAGCAGGTTGGCAAAGTGGATGTCAAACACATGTTGCGATATATGTAGATGTTTGCACATCAATGTGTGTATGGATGTATGTATGAATGTGTATGAAACATGTACAGGCAACTGCTTCCCCCTCATGTTTAAGTCCCCCTTTTTGCAAAGCCTCGGGCCCCACGAATGTTGCTGGTTTCGGGGCCCACAATTGAAAATTAACTGAGAACACTAGCTAGGATTGTATGAGTTTAGCAGAGCCAAGACTACGGTAGTACTAAACCGACAGGACCAGGACTTTAGGTTTTAGGGCTTCGGGCTTAAGGTTTGGGGCAGCTCTGTAGGGTTTAGGGCAGAAGGCTTCGGGCTTAGGCTTAGGGCTTTAGGACTTAATTAGGGCTTGAGGTAGTACTAAACCGAGAGGAAAAGACCTATCTCTGCCATTTATTACCCAACTACCTGTTCGACCCATACCCTGATGCCTTCCCCCCCCTTCCCAACAAAAATCAGGGGCCCGGAAATCAGGTGTAATATTGTGTTTTTTTTTGGGGGGGGAGGGGGGGGGGTGCGCTTTCATATTAGGGTGAAAGGACTATGCAGTTCTGTGTCTCTGTATCTGCATTAACATGCAAATGCCAGCTGGGAACTTCTTCAACCCGTCTGGTATGAAGCCTTGAACCTAACAGCCTCTTGAAACCATCTCCACACGAAAATGAAACAGTACATAGTTACATAGTTAGACCCCGAATTTGGCAAGACTCCAAGGACCCCGAGCCGTGCACACAGACAAGACCAAGCGGAATCTCGAGACCATACTCAGGCATCGCCTTTAAGCCGAATCCATCCAAGGAGCTGGATAGCCCCAACCATCTCGACAAACACAGCAAAGTTCCCAAAGCTTCCTAGCGCCCCTAGGCCCACTTGGAGCACCTTGGGCTTCCCAGAGCAGTCATAGGACACGATGACGCCTCGGTCGGCTAGCTGATAGCAACAAAACCAAACGAGGCTTGACACGAATCTACGATAGATGCTTGGCCATGGCACCATCTTTCCGCCGATTGACTTTCTTGATGCGGGTGTTGAGCCAGGTCCTCTGCGGCAACGGGTCCAAAACCGCGCACGACCCCCCGCCTCCCTTTGGGTCTATCTCGCATGCCTTTTGCTGCAGGCTTGCTTGCAAGGACGCCTGGTAGTTTGCCGCTCTTCCGCCAGTTAAAAGTCTCCAACCCGAGCTTAAGGATGGATGCGGTTGCAGTGAAATCGAAGGCAATATAAATAAGTAAATAAATATATATATATATATATATATATACACACACAATAAATTCACAAATGTATACAAGTCTAGAACATATATACATACATACATATATATATACATATATATACATGTATGAATATTGGTGTGTCGTATGTGCTTGCATATTATCATGTGCATACGCTCGTGGGTGTGTATATGCACCCGTCCATACGTATGTATGTATACATATATATTTGTAAAGACATACACACACACGTATATATATATATATATGTATGCATGTCTATATATGTGTGTAATATGTGTGGGCTTCTCATGCATTTGTACATGGGCATAGTTATATACAGATGCACACACACACACAGAAACACACACATATATATATATATATATATATATGGTACCCCCCGCCCCCCCCCCCCCAGGACCAACCTCGGCCATTGTCCTGCTCATTACTGTCTTCACAGCGTCATGAATAAGAGCCGAAACCACTGTAAATACCGATGGTGTTTGTGTTCCCGTACAAAGTTTGCACTCTCGACGCCTCTTGACAGACTGGTAAAAAACAGGGTCCAGTTTTATGGACACCATTTACACTCTCGGCGCGTCTTGTCGGAGTGGTAAAAGACAGAGTCCAGTTTGTGTGCCTCATCCTTTATTAATTATTGTCATCTTGTCAAAGTCTTATTATTAGTTTCAGTCTTAAAAAACAGTGTTAACATTGGTCTTGACTTAATTTTGTTCTAAGTTTTAACCTCAACTATTGTGAGTAGTAACCTTAATATTTTTGCTAGCGTTAGCATTATTATTAGTTTTGTGTCATTACTAATTTTAGAAGTTCTAACAATGCTGCTGGTATCTGTCCAATATTACTGTTCGTTTGATTAGTGTTCCTGTTAGTGCTGATGCTGGTGTCAGTGTCAACGTCAGTGTTAGTCTTAATATTAATATGAGTATTAGTGCTCCAGTTTAATTTAATATATGTCTATAGCAGTGTTAGTGTTAGTGTTCGTGTTAGCATTCGTATTAATATTAGACGTGGGCTGGGCTTTAAAAACTTAGTCTTAGTACATTATGTGTATAAGTATTCATATGTGTATATTCAGTATATTGGTATATAAACAAAACATATATATTCATTAAAAAAATTTTTGGGTATACTCGTATATTGGTATATTAGTAGCAATGGTCTATTGGTATATCAGTTTCTCAGTATATTAATATATTAATTTATTAGTATATTAGTATAATACTATGACCGTACATATTGGTAAATGAAAACATTGAGTTTTTAACAATCTGATGCATTCATTTCCTTGTGCCTTATTCTGATGTATTCTTTAGCATACATTACAAAAACGATATTGACATTAATATGATGTTTGTAAATTCATATTGGCATTGATATTAATATGAGTATGTAATAATCTTTCTATATTTGTATGAGCACAAATAATTTTGCTAGTATTATGCATGTTCGTACTAGCCGAAGTATTAGTGCTCATATTAATATCAATATGGTTCTAAAGAGACTATTAATGTCGGTATTCGTACTGAGAATAATTTTGTTAAGAACATGAGCATGAATACCCGTAGGAATATTCATACCTATGCTTGTATTGGTATTAATACTCGTCTTAGCATGAGTACTAGCATTCGTACGTATCTAGGCATGACGATTCTTATATGAATATAAAAGGGGAACATGATTATTAGTATTCGTAAGAACATTAGTTTTCCTATACATTAATGCTAACTAATATTACTATGCATATTAGTATTGGCAAGAACATTAAAGTTCGTGTTCACATCAATTCTAAAATTGGTATTAGTGCAGTTTTTTCAATATTAGGAGTAGATACTAGTAGTAGAATTAAAATTAGTATGAACAAAACATGCGTTGGTATTCGTCGGAATATGAAACTTGAGGTTACTCTTCGTATGAGTTACTAGTACTACTGAAAAACATACCAATGCTGATATTAATACGAATGCTAACATTCATGTCTGAGCATGTTATTATGCACGTTCGCACTAGCCTTAGTGCTAATATTAGCATGAATATGAGTACTCCAAAAATGAGTCATTTCACGAATATGCATAGCCAATATTCATACAAGCGATAATACTAGCTATAGTATGTATATTAGTATTCGGATCAAGACTATTCATACAATGTACATGATTTCAAGTATTCTTGGGAACATCAGTATTCATACTAGCATACTATCAGTTTCACCAGTAGTATTACTATAAGTATAAGTACTCGTATGAGTATTATAGTTTTCAAAGTTTTCAAAATAATATCAATATTACTACAAGTATCAGTTGCACAGACACGTCAACCGGCGACGTCGCGAGGTCGAGTTCCCTAAATTCTCTAATCACTGCTTCCATGCCTCGAATTTACAGAATGCGTGAGTTCCTGCAGACTCACTAAATTCCTAAAGTCTTTACATACCCTAATTTCCAGCCCCATGTGTTGGTTTTAGCGCATTCCCTAACATTCCTGACTCCCAGCCCGGACCATGTGTTGGATTTAGGGAATTCCCTAAATTCCCTAAATTCCCTAATTTCCCTAAATTCCCTAATTCCCTACCCCATGTGTTGGATTTGGGGAATTCCCTAAATTCCTTAAATTCCCTAAATTCCCTAAATTCCCTACCCATGAACGGAAACCATTGAATCTTCTCCATGGGGGTCAGACTTAGGGAATTTAGGGAATTTAAGGAATTTAGGGAATTTAGGGAAATAGGGAATTCCCCAAATCCAACACATGGGGTAGGGAATTAGGGAATTTAGGGAATTTAGGGAAATACCTAAATCCAATGGGTAGGGAATTAGGGAATTTAGGGAATTCAGGGTTGGTCTTGGGGGGGGGGGCTAGCATATATATATATATATATATATGTATATATGCACGTACACCGTTTGGGGTCACACTGCAAACTTGTCGCAGACCTGTGCAAACGACGTATGTGCAAGTATGCATATATGCGTAACGGTCTGAACAAAAGATTAAACGCTTAAGCGGATAAACAAACAATAACATATCTCTCTATGATAAAGGTATACGTATACGTATATGTGTGCATATACAGGTACGTATGTGTGTATGTCTATGTCTATGTATACGTTTATGTAGACGTAGATGTAGATGTATGAGTACAAGTACATGCATATGAAAATGTATGTGTATATATATATGTATAAAGATAAACACACACACACACACCTACATATTGTGAAAGCAAGCCGGTAGCGAGAGACTCTAAATGTGTGCCTGTACTTTTGTGTTGACATGCATGCATGCAGGAGGGATCTGAACCTGTAAATGCTGATTGCACTTTGATCATCAATGCAGCTGGGCATCCGCTGATGGCTGCTCCTTGTGGGGTGCATGTGGGCGCTGCCGGAACACAATATCAACAAACTGTAATTACAACAGAACTCACCGTTCTTGACGAGTGTCCAGTACCACACGCGATCGCCGACGTTGAAGACAGGCTGCTTCGCCTACACCAGAACATGCATCTGCCCTCGTTAGCAAAAGCTGAGGATCAAGGCATGACCCAACGAAGTTCCATCTCCTTTTTCCGATGGGACAGCTTGAGGTGCTGGACCTTTTGAGGTCTCGCCGGTCTTGCACGAGATGCCTTGACGAGCCCGATGCGGCTGCTTTTTCGTGCGGAACGGTGTCGTCCTGGATGCGCATTGTCCCTGTCCGATGAGTGTTCAATCGATGGCATCTCAAGTTGACCGGACATCTACTATCCAGGCACGCTGTGCTCCCAGCTCCTCCGGCTCGCCTGCCCGCAGCACCGCCTCGAGTTTGGAGTCACCCTGGCTAAGCGCCCAGTCAGCCGGCTTCCGACCATCTGCGTCCATTGCGTGTGCATCGGCACCAAAGGCCAGCAGGGCATAGGACACCTGAGGATGTCCCCGAGATGCCCAGTGCAAGGGTGTTTGCCCGTCTGCATCTCGGACGTGCACGGAGGCACCCGAAGTCAACAGCAGTTCTGTGCAGGACAGGTGCCCGGAAAAGGCCGCCCAATGCAGCGCGGTCATACCCCAGGAGTCTGCTCTCTCAGAGTCTGCGCCCGACATCAGCAACACGTAGGCCGCCTGTGATGGGAAAATCCCTCCCAACCGCAGTCTAGGACTGCCGCGGCAGCACAGGCACCCGAAATCCGCCCTGTCGAAATGCCAAAAGCTGGTAGATAATAATAATAATAAGATTAGTAATCATAATATGATACAAACCTGGGCAGACTTGCGTAGAATCGACTTTTGTACTACTATAGTGCACGATTGAAAAACCTAATAGTAAACCGTAGCATACAGTATCGCATTCTGAAAAACGATCTGCAACGTAGTAACTTCAGATGTGTACAGTATGGTACAACTCAATATAACAACATGCAAAATATAGTTATTGAAAGCAAACAGTAGTCAGTAGTAGGAGTAATAAGAGAATAATGAAAGAATACACGAACAGCGTACTCAGAAAACAATAGTAGCGGCAATACCAAAGATGACAATAACACCATGTATGTGTACATACATACATACATACATACATACATACACACACATATATATATATGCATGTGTTGATGACGTCGAGAAAAAGAACGTCATGTAAAACTTGATACCAACTTGATGATACAGCTAGTGACAAACATGTGCCAGAAAATCGAAATATCAGATAAAGAAAGATCGTGATATGATACAGCACCATGCACTGTATAACATAGCGTAATACAAAGCAGTAAAACAATGTAACAAAATATAATATAACATGCAATACAGTAGCCGAACACCACAAAACATAAGTTAATACGGTAAAACATAGCACGGTATGATACACCAGTATAGTTCGGGTTATAATTAGCATGGTATAGTACATACAGCTTGATATGAGGAAACTGTAATACAATGTAACTCAACATGCAAGACCCCAGTCAAATCTAACTAGAATGCTACACTATTGTATGCTTTAATACAGTGCAAAACATTATGGAATATGACAAGCCCTGAGCCTCTGGCATGCCTGCCTGCACTGCCAAGTGGAGCGGCTCTCGACCTTTCTCATCGGGCCCGTGCACTGCAGCCCGAGCCTCAAGGAGCCTTCTCGGGGAAAGATTAAGGCTTAGGGATGTTTAGGGCTTAGGATCAAGACTGCTTGAGATCTATTTGAGGAGTAGGAAAGGGTACCGGCACATACTTTTTCCAGTTTCAGGTATATGTAAACTCTGGAAAAGAAAAATGACCTTGTATAAATACATTAAGACCCTAAAGGTATACTAATCATTCCTCATCATTCCGACCCTACACAACGCTGGCACAAGGACGCAGTCAGGTATAGAGCAGGGTTGACCCCAAACAGCAGGATTCTTGCTCCAAGAACCACCAGGCAGCCTTCTTTGTATGAGTTGAGGAAGACTAGGTCTGAAACCAAGCACAGCCAGGTGATCCCCGAGAGAATGCCATATAGGGTCACAGCACTGCAACAGGATACTGGAGAGAGGGAGGGAGGATGGAGGAAGGAGGGAGGGAGGGAGGCAGGGAAGCAGCTGCGATATCAATATGCGTATATACCTATATACAAACAGAAACCTACATGTATTTATAAATCCATACATACATGCATACAGGTATATGTGAGTATATGTATGCATATGCATGCGTATGCATCTGTATGTGTATGTGTATGTATGTATGTATGTACGTATGTGTGCACATAACAATATCTGTATATGCAAGTACAGATGCTCATTAAACTCATGTGCATGAGCCGATTGAAAGCACTGTCTAGTTGCTAGTTATTGTTCTATTTGACTCAATTCGGCCATCTTCGATCAAAAAAGGTGCATGCATAGAAGACGTACCAGTACTACGCATACCAAACCTCGAAAGGTCACAACGCCCTAGGCTATATGTAGTCTTGCGTGCTCAATCAAACACGATTCACCTTGAGACAATCCAAGAAACAGGGCCACAGCTTTGATGTACCCCCCCTCCGCGGCCAGGTGCAGCGGGCGCTGCTGGCGGTGGTCCGGAAAGTCGGGAGAAGCCTTGCTCGGGCATTGCTACAGTTTGAGGTTCATGGCCCAGGCTTCTGACCTGCTTAGAGGATCATGGGACTTAGTGAGTAGGGTTAGTAACTCTCGTTTCTTTACTTATTTCCCAACTTGCTAAGTCCCCTGATCCTCCAAGTGGTAGAGGTCAATGACTGACAAGGACTCGTAATGTAGTTTGCGCTCGGGAGTTACGGCTGTCGATGTCTGCAGATTCACTAGTCCGTCTAATTTTCAAGCAGAACTCCAGAAGTTGATCAAGATAATATAGGGGCCTTAAAGGTTTCGGAGTTATGTTACGGTGTTAATGCAGAGCCCGAAGCGAAGGAACTAATGGGCTTAGGAGCAGCTCGTGAAAGCAGCCAGTTCAGCGCCTCGCCGTGGCCGTTGCTACTGGCGGCATGTAGGGGCGTCCGCCCACCAGAGTCCTGAAAGTTGGGATCCCCTCGCTGATCCTTGGCAGCTCTGAAAATCCCTTCTTCGACATGGCCTTGGATTACAAACTCCTTAGATTGCAGGCTAAGCTTAACTCCCCACCAGAGCAATGGATTTCAAGATCCAGGCATCTAGTAACATCGCCAGCTTGTCTGTTCTGCCCCGTGCTGCCCAGCCATACAAAGCCGCCGAAGCCGCGGCAGAGAAATCGGAGCTCGAACCGCAAAGCACAGGTAGCGCAGCAACCCCAAGGAGTTGCGCTTGTCGCATGGCAGATCATCGGCCGAGGAAGGATGCCGTTTAACGGTACTACAAAGGGTTCTCTAAGGGCACTACAGTGGTATACAAGGTTACCAAGTCATCAGGTGAGGATTGTGTGGCTTTGCATGCCGCAGGAACTCTTGAGGTTGTAGCTGCTTTGCAGGGATCTCTTAGCATCGGGGTGGCGCGGAACAAAACCTGCAGGTATGGGCCACAGGAGTCTATCCCGACTGTGAAGTTCCGGGAAGGGCCGAGAGGTGGAATATGGGAGTTTCCGAAAATAGGGGACCCTAATATGGTACCCCTAAATAGTAGGATCCTAATTACAAGGACCCCAAAATAAGGTACCCCTATTTTCGGAAACTCCCATATAGGGGCCTTAGACTGAGTCTTGCAGCATTGCAGCTTCCGAGGAGCGTGTGTTCACAATGCTGCCCTCTTTCAAGACATGCACTTTCTCTCAATTCCACACTCCGCAGCCCATACCCGTAAGCATTTCAGCTGAGTCCTACCTTGAAGGCCCTGCCCTAGAAGACTCCATGGCCAATCCTTCTGCTTCTGCTTCATCTTTGCAGCCATCCCTGCGGGAAGGGTAACACCTGAAGCGAATCCCATGCCAATTGCCGAGAAAAGCTCTGGAAGGAGCTATAGGCAAAAAGGTCTTCAGCAGCTTGTTAATAACAGCCTACTACTAATACTCGTTACTAGTAATAACACTATTAATTTACTGTTCCTAGTACCGATACTTATAAACAATCATGACATGCATCTTAGTCTTCATGCTGATGCTGGGGAGAACATGCAATGGCTCCAAATGGAGTGTCATCATGGCAGCCTCGCACATGCCCTGGAGGAATCTGTCTCTTCTGGTGCCGCTGACCACTCCGCAGCAAAATCCAGTGCTTCTATTCTATGAAAACTGCTGCTTTCTCAAAACTTCGGGGTGCCAGACCGCTTAAGGACGACGGATTACGATGGTGATGCTGTAATTCACCAGTGATTGGGAGAGGTGGTCCTCACATCTTACAAACACATCATCAATGACAGCGGCTGTGGATAAAGACGACGACGACAAGGGTGACAACGACCACCGCGCCTAGTCCAAACCTTTCATTCCTACTCCTACACGTACACCTTCACCGACTTCCACTCCGCCGATCTCGACCCCAACGTCGACGACATCGATGCCTACTCCTCCTCCAACCACCACCACCATCACCACAAGCTGCTGCTACGGCTACAACATGCTACAACGGTGGTGATGATGACGACTGCGCTAGCATTGCAACTACCGCTGCTTTCCACTGCTCGCGCCGTCGCCAGCCGCCACATGTGTGCAGATGCTCTCGAGCAGAAACGAATCAAGCCGCAAGCGTTTACCTAAGCGCCGGGCGTGGAGGCACCACCTTTCTTTCAAAGGCTTTTACTGGTTCAGCAGCTGTTCCTGCAGCAGGGGCCCCTGTGCCAGCTTCCTTGGGGATAGCTGCTGCAGCTGCTGCACGCGGCGCTTGCCCAGTCGCCGCCTGCTCGGCTGATACTCTGCTGTGAAATCTCTCTGCCAGCGCTTCTTCGTGCATTGTGGCTTGGCTTCGGCTTGGAAGACACGAGCGTCCAGATCAGATCTAACAAGAAGTCCTGCAGTCGTACACGAGATGGAGACAAGTGAGTTGCGGGCAGAAGCTGGCAACGGAAACACTGCCTTCTGCTGCAGTTTGTGCGGTGCCGCCCGCACCTTTGCAAAGGCAAGGTTTTGCTACAACTACATTAAGGCAAAGTGAAAATGTCTTGAATCTGGGTTCGTGAGACGGTGGGCAACAGGACAGTGACAAGTCACATGCATGAGAAGAAATGAACGGCAAAAATAAATAGATTCTATGGCGGTGACACTTCTGGCAGCTGCTCCTTTTCGGGAATGAAGAGAGCCGCTACCAACAGCAAACCAGTCCGGACTTTGCCGCAGCCAAATGCATCCGGAAACGGGTTCAAGGGACAACATGACATCTCCACCCGTGAGGTGGGAACTGTCGAGTGAGTACGACTTAGTCGGTCCATGGCGTGTTCCCGGTTCCGACGGCGACGGAGGTACAACCACGCAATTCGGAGAGCGGACGTGGCAGATAGGTAGTGTATGCATCACATGCATCGCTGGCGTCAGTGCAATTTTATGATTCCACACTCAAACAAAATACCGATTGTGACATCAGCCATGCATCCATGCCGATAAATCCACAACTCAATGCTGAATCGCCCTGCTTGTGCCTTCGTCGCCAGCGCGTACGGCTTGCCCGAGCAGTCCTTGCTTCGGAAGGCACCAAAAGCAGAGCCGGACTAAGAATTCAGTGTTCATGATCACGGGGTGGTATATAAAAAAAGTACAAGAAGCACTGTCATGACGATGTTGCGGCCATGTTGTCCAACAGGAGGAAAATTATTGAGGCAACATAGCATCACGAAAGTTCAGGTGCGATGCTTGTCATGGCAAAAGCTGTCTTGCAAGCGAGTCGCATAAGCAGTTACTTTACCATTTTCGTCCAGATGCTGCGCTTTGACACGCGTCGTGACCCACTTGCCTTCATGGGTTCGGAACTGCTTCACAAGGACACCGGCTCTACTGCTACGGCAACTCAACCTCTTGAAATTGGACCACCTGGAAAACAATAGCCGAATTGAGTAGACGATGTCTTGTCGGTTGTTTTCTTTTGGGCCTGCGATGAGGAATCGTAGACACACAAAAGGAAGAAGCCTGCAAGCGAAAGAAAAGATAACTACCTTTTTTTGCAGCAGGCCTCGTTGTCCAGCAGCCCGGTTACAGCAAAGAGCCCCTCTGTCCCCCGCTTCTTCAAAGCAAGGAGAGGAGTCGAGCTGACACTCGCGACGACACTATCTGATACGACACTACCTTACTATACTGACTGATTGCAAGACTGTGAAATTCCATGAGCTCGCTCAAAAACGAATCCAGAACCCACTGTTCAAGATATAGCTCGACACCACTACCTAAACCCGACACCCTATAGTACCTTTATCTTATAGAAATAAACCCTTGTAGATCCCTGTATCCACGGTTTTTTTCCGCAACCTGTGGTGTCTTAGCCGACGTGTTGCTCTTTTCCCAGTAACGTGTCCTAGTCGTTGTTTCGTTACACATTGCGGCAGTTGTTCATGAATAGTAACTCAGTAAAGATAGTACTAATAATGCTGATAGTAGTACTCACTGTGCTGATTGCCTTTATTGTAATGACATCACAAGAAGACTAATAGTTATCTGCCTGTGCCTCGGTCATTGTGCCGATTCGGCTTCCGGGGTGCTGAGGATTGTGTTCCAGCCAGGTGTTCCGATATTCCGATACAGTGGCAGGGTCTCGGTAGACTCAGTAACTTGACTTGTACTGAGCACCCAAGAAAGTTGGGATAAGCGAAGGAGTCGAAACGAACATCACAAGAGTTGCGCCTGCAAGCATGTAAACACCGAGTAGCATCCATATCGACACACCAGCCGAGATACCGATCACGCAATGAGCCGGGACTATGACTGACACAGCGGATGTGCCAAACAGTGCTGCTGGACAAACTGAACATTTCACTTCGAAGGCTGGGTGCTGGCCTAAACGCATTGGACACGAACATGCAACTTGGAAGTGGGGTCCACTGCTGACATGCGTGTGTCCACGGTGTGCACAAGATCCAGCTTGCTAGCTTAAGTACCACTCATGTCCCTTGAATCTTATTTATGTATGTGGAACAGCAGAGTAGCAACAAACAAATCACCTCCCGGCCCTTAGGTGCGCTGTTGAACTCAACACTCCCAACTGCAAGAACAGGGCTGTGTCGTCTGGCCTTTGGTAGAGCTCCAGTACTGCCTTGGCTGCTTAACTTACCTTTGGTTAGTAGGGAATGGAGAAATGGGGTACAATTATGAATACTATTACTACCATTCTTCCATTCCTTACTAACCAGAGGTAAGTTAAACAGCAACTGGCGCAATACTGGAATATGTACTTCGACGCTCTGCTTGAAGCTTCCCGTGCTCGCCTGAACCCGTGTGAAAGTTGTTGCAATCGACGCCGCGTCTTTCATCTAGATCTTCGTGATTCCGAAGAGGTCGAAAGATCTGACAAACTCCTGGCCTCCATTCTAGTGCAGTTGTCACTGCTACTAATTGCCTGGGGGGCTGAGTTTGGGCTCAGGCTCTGGGCTTTTGTGAAGGAAACTTTCGGGTTTGATTAGGGGGGTGGGGGGCTTCCCGTCTCCCAGTCGAAGTTTGCCAAGGCTTGCGTTGCAAATGGCTTCTTAGCCCACTTCCTCTGTGAGTTTATAAGATGACAGGAGCGGGCCTTTTTTTGTTGGTAACCTTCTTGGCAGCTAGTATGAAAGGCCTGAGCGCAACCACCTTGACAGCCGAACGGTATTCCACAAGTGCCTGCCGGGCCACGAGTCTGATGATTCTAAGTCCACTGCTCTAGGGTGTATGCTTGCGGCTTTCGGCCCTAATCCGCAGAGCCAACTCCTTCCTACCCGCAAGTCGAGATGCACCACGCTCCCGACAGGGAAAGTCGGTCCATCGCGCTTCCTGGCGATGCCGAGATGATCACACTGATCTCAACAAGAGGTCACCAAACAGAGCACGGTGTTTCATCATGTTGCTGCCGCTGCTGCTGCACCTCGTATCACACCACCACTGTTACTACTATTGCTACTCCACTACCACTACTACTACTACTACTACCACCACCACTGCTGCTACTACTGCTGCTGCTACTACTACTACTACTACTACTACTACTACTACTACTACTACTACTACTACTGCTTGACTTACTACTGCTGCTTCTCCTGCTTCTACCACTATAGCGGCAGCAGCAGGAGCAGCGGTCCCAATGGCGACTACGGCTGCAAGAGCCCGAATATTACAACGATGCCTTTTGCTGCTGCGACTGCCGATTCTTGGTATGGTATGACCGTACTACTGCAGCAAACATGTCTGCTGCGAATCACAAGGCTTCTCAGAACTACACAAAAAGCACCACGAAGAAACACAGTATGGCACGGCTGTCCACGTACGAACACCAGCCTCGCCAGCAGCATCCACAACAGCGTCACTAGTTCAGGCCAACAGGACAAAAGGCAGCAACAAGCAGCACCACCATGAAGGACGACAACATGAAGAACAACAGCTAGAGTTGGTTGAAAAACGGCAAAAAATCGCACCAACGAGAGCACAACCACGAAGACAAACGAAGCAGCAACGGCAACAGCAGCATGAACAGCTGCAGACGCAGCGAAAGACAGCAACTGCATCAATACACCACGACCACGATGACAACCACCAGCACCACCGCCGTAACAACAGCGCAAAGAAGCCTTTCCGAGATGTTGCGCAACCTCTTCAACCGGGGCTCCATCTCTCCAAAACGAATGCAAGGCAAACAAGCCCGGGCAACCGTTTCCACTGCGCTTTCTGGAGTTCGCCTTGCCCCTGAACTTGTGCATCCTGCCCTGTCTTTGGGGCAGAAGCCTCAGGGCCTTGTTTGATTTGGCGCTGAGAGCCGCTGGGTGCCCGGCTCTGCCTGTTTCTGGAGTCTTTTGCCACTTGTGGCTGTGCACCATGTATCTGCGGATGCAACTGCCGCTGCAGTTGCTGTGCCTCTTGCGGCTGGGGCTGTTGCTGGGGCGCCGGTGCGTGTCGCTGGGGCACTGTGGCACCTGAGGCATGAACTGCGAATGCAGGAAACGGACTTCCATGCCACCGCTGCTCTCGCGCAACCTCAAACAATAAGTTCACGACCTCGTTGCTGCTGAGATGGAGCAGCTTTTGGCGCCACCGGTGCGCGAGATAAAAACTTTTCTGCCTGACATGTCAGCGTGGTCTTGTCAACTGGCTGGACCTTCTTAACTCGAACTTGCAGACGTGCGGCAGGCGGCTCTCGATTCTGAATGCCCCCTCAACACCCCACCACAATACTCGCCGGGAAACTGCTTCGATGAATGTAGAGGTCCTCAGTACGCCGTGCCATGATGATCATGATGTGACAAGACTCAAGCTCTCATGGCTGTGCATCATTTGCGCCATCGCAATGCTCCACGAGGTGTTGTGCTCCCCCGGAAGCGCAGCTGGAAAACACTTTTTGGGTGCCGTCGCTGCTGCTCTGGCGATTGACAGGGCGCGCATCTCGTGCAAGCTCAGCTTTCTGGAACATGGATACTACGAAACCCTCCGCTCCCAAGAGCAGTGAAAGATAGCAAAAGTGCCAAACAGGATATACAGATTTGGCCCTTTCTTACATCGAGACCTATACTGGACCTATACTGTAAGCCCTAAACCGTTATTCCCAGGCCCGAAAGCTCTGCAGGCCCGTGATTAGCTTTTCGAAACCCGAGCTCCACAAGACCTAGCTCGATCGGCGCTCACTTGTGGCTGCTTTCCTCGCTTTCCTCTTGACACCTTAAGCACCTGTCGGGCGAGTGGCTCTAATAGGGTGTCTACAACGACTCTGCCAGGGATCTCTAGGGTTCAGGGTAGAAGGTTCTACAGAGTAAGCGAGCATTGAGGGTGGAGTTCTGGAGCTGCAGGGCCCAACCAGTCAGCCCCACCTGCGTTTGGCACTGCGGCTGCAGCTCCTACAGTCTTGGCCTATTTAAATTCAGTTTGCGCACATATTCGTTGACTTGGATGGAATAAGGCAATCCTGCAGATGTTTGCAAAGGCTTTCGAGAACTTCCGGAGCTGTTTCGGGGCCCCCGTCCCTGACCCAACCAGTCTCCAAAGCCCGAGGCCCCCCGGCCACCGATTCCCTCGGGGCTACGATGATGGCAGTGGAAGGCAGGGATGATGGATGCTGGCTCTGAGAGTACTCCCCTACTTCTTCTGTTCTTTTTTGCAGCTGGGCTGCGAGGGTCAGCAGCAAGTCGCAACGCGCTCTGAAGCTCAGCACTGCTGAGACTTTGTTGTAAACTCCTAAACCTGACATATCCTGACAAGAAAAGCCCAAACCCTAAACTCTTCTCAGGTGGCCTGCAGTGGAAGCCGCGACCGTTGAGGAGGCGATCGCGTCTCTTGCCGCCAGCCTCGTAAAGGCTGCAATAAAGGGGCATGCAACAAGTAGAATGGCCTCCTTTCAGGGTGAATTATCATATACTATAATATAACATATAACATGATATAGTACAGCAACAATATAATACAGTATTAATTTAAGCCCCCAATACTCAGATCAGGACCCTGTCGTAGGCTTCCAGGGGCGGCTACAAGGCTTTTGTCAGAACACTGAGCTCTGTTTGCGTGCTTTTGTAATATAGGGATCTGTGAGGGCTTCATGGTGTTCAACGTGGGCTCATGGCTCCGTGCTGTGTCAGTTGGGCACAGGATTTGCTGACCATCAAATCCGAAATCCGGATGTTGCGTGATGTGGAGTTAGTCCTGGCTTGGAAGCAACACCTAGGTGGCATGCCTACCTGGAAAATGCTAGAACCAAGGCGTATGTATGTATGCATGTATGTATACATTTCATGAGTACAACGATCGCAGGTTCCGCTTCCAAATTCTGAGGCCGCGTGGTGCCTCGGACAGAAGCTCGCCGGGAAGATAGCTCACTGTCACCTGGCATCGATCTAGTGTCCCTACCTCTCCGTGGCTAGCACGCTCTCTTTGCTTCCCTCGCTCTATCTCACTCCCTCCCTCTCTCGCTCTGCATCCATTTCTCCGTCTCTCTCTCTCTCTCTCTCTCTCTCTCTCTGTCAAACTCTTTCCATCTTGCCCCTCTGCCTTCTTGCCTGAATGGGGTTCTGGGTCTAGCGTTTTGGGTGCATCCTCAAAATTCTCCTCTGCGGCACCTCCTACTATCCATGGCTTCATTGACACCTTGATCAAACCCAAGGTGGCCGTCCTAGAACGTGTGTCAAGTCATTCGTGAAATCATGATTGACGCTCTGGTTTCCTTACCGTTTTGGCATGCCATGGTTCTTACCAATAAGGTGGCACCAACAATTCCTGAGCACATGCAGTGACTGAACCATGAGGCCTCCTCCCCAGCTGGGATTGCCACAAGGGCCTTCACCAAAAGCCTTGGCTTCCGAGTTCTCACGCGCTATCTTTTTCTTGCTTTAAACCCGGCTTTCAGTTGCCAGCTTTTTCACTTCCACCTCAGCACTTGGGGAGCACGGTCGCCTACCAATTCTCCAACCAATCGAGAAAAGCTGCGGCATTGTCTATGAGAAAAGCATGATCGGGTGGCAGTCTCAAGCGATATGTCGGGGGCCTAGATACATGCATGGATCAAGACTTCTGTGGCAGTATCCACCGGTCACGGCCAATGCCGTGTCACGCCGAGGTGCGTCCCACGGCTGCTGTCGAAGCTAGCATTCGGACTTGGCTGGTACCGAGGCACACGGGTCTTTCGTCTTTCGTTTAGGGTGTACTTCAAGATATGACAAGTGGTCGTGAAAGACTCCCTTGTCCATCTGCCTAATTACGCCGTTGCTGCTATGTCGAGTCACATATAACAATATCCCATTAAGATCCTACGTCCAGAGTTCCTGAGTCCCTATACATTTGTTCCCAAGCCCAAACGTGAAGTCATGATGGATCATCAAGGTCTCAGCGCCCTTTACGCCGTGGCACGCGCAGGAGTGGTTGAAGCGTGCGGCAGACACGAAGAGCGCAACTTGATCGGGCTCCTGGTTTCAAGTGCCAAGCTTTCGAGCTTTGGACATGCAGGCGTCCATATAGGTAGATGTATTTGTATACATATTTATATACATATATGTATATATATATATATATATATTTATATATTTATATGTCTGCGTGTGTGTGTGTGTGTGTGTGCATGTGTGTGTGTGTGTGTATTTTTGGTCCATACACACACACATACATATATATATATGTATATATATATATATATGTCTATCTATCTATCTCTCTATCTCTGTGCCTCTCTATCTCTCTATCATCAAAAAACATATGTATATATGTATATGTATATACATATATATATATATATATTTATGTACTTATTTACGGTTTACATGTATACAGTTGTTACACTCCATGTTCACAAATGGCCATACGGATGCAATGCGTGCAGATGCCTTGCGACCAAAAAGCTTCCATTGTCCGACCTGTTGACTCACCATCCAGCCGTTTATGCCACATTTGTTCTGCTTACACATGGTAGACAGGTTTTTACTCGGCGTATCTTACTTCCAAGTAGAAACCCTCACAGTGAATGCCAAAATCGCGACAATACTGCCAAAGCAGCACAATGCTTACAAAGGCCGAAGAGTCCTGCGTGCAATAAAGGCAATTCGCTTCAGCGATGGAGCCTCGGTGTCCCCGAACGGTCGCATAAGGCATATGTACTCATACACTTCATCTATACGGCTGCGCAGCAAGCGTTTCCAGCTCTGCCAGGGGACAGACTAGAATCTGCTCTTTCATCTCAGCATCCACTTCGGCATCGTCGAGCGTGGCCCTGTCATGACTGTCCTCTCTGCCAGAATGTCAGGAGATGTTAGGTCTGTTAGGAGCCTTGAGGCTTCTTCGAGGCAATATCCCTCTAGCAGATTGTAAGAGTGGGGAGTAGTTGTAGCTCCGGCTCAAACCCCTGCAACCCTCCGTCCTTGGTACCCAGCTCCAACACCGAGGCATAGTAGAAGTCGGCTTGGGCATCTGCGCCTCATCACACTACCGGCTGTAAGGTGGTAAGCAGCTTGGACCACACGTTTCTTGCCGCTAGAATCAGCCCTAGCACAAAATCTGCAAATATTGCGTTTTTGCAAAAGCCGCACTCTTGCGACGGTGAAAGCCATGCAGCGCGCACTGACTCGCCGATCTCGGTGCCCCTTTCCTTCACAAATGCGGCTGCTATCTCCACAAAACAGCAACAAGAATCAGACGGAGTATGGTCAGCACCCAAACAAACACCTAAGGCAGCGGTGCAGTGGGACGATGTGCAGCTTTTAACAGCAACTAACGTTTAACAGTGAGCGCAAGCTGCCGAGTCTCGTATGGCTTTCTCCGCAATGAGGCAGAAATATTCTTTCGCTCCTCATCTACGACTACAGGCAAGGACGTCTCTCCACTGCTTCTCTTGCAAGACACGAACCAACACGGAGATATAAGCTTAGGCATGCTTAGGCCGATTCGGCGAAGACTGCCTGAATGGGTCGACCACGATGAATGGGCCCTGCACATTCACAGCAGTCCAAAAGTTAGATCTCAACGAAACCCTAAATCCCTTCCTGTACGGGAAGCCTTATAGAATCCCTAGAATGGCTCGAGCCCGGAAAGCCTGTGAGCTCACACTCGGCGAAGCCAGGCGAGGTGGTCGGTTGAGGTGAAACACATGTGGGAGGGCTACGGACCGGAAGCATCGAACTTGATGAGTTCCGTGCTCAGCCGCTCTCTATACGCAGGAACCAAGCAGAAACAGGTCTACACCCCTGTGCATCTCCGAGGCGCCATTGACAGGAGCAAAGCAAAAGGCGGTGTCGAAAAACAGCACGTCGCCTGCTGAGATGTCCTCAATAGGGCTGAATGCATTTCTGCCAATCTACGAGCAATCAGCATGAAAACGTGCGTGCTCGTCTAGCTTTCCTGCCAGCCGTTTAACAGTGTGATAATATCATCGAAACACTCGGCACTTGCTGTCAGTAGGCTAGTAGGTTCCTTCCTGCCTACTCTTCGGAATCCGTGCAGTGTCTGATGCTGAATCATCTGAACCAGCATGCTGCTCGAACCAGCTTCTTGGTACTGACCCGGAGAAACCGCACAAGTCTTGTGGGACAGCCCTGGCCTTGGCAGCGATGTAGCCCATGCCCGTATTTGTGGGCCGCAACTCCAGCCGCCCTTGCACGACCTGCAGGGCGGTCAGGAGCGATGATGCTTGGGTCGCAAGAAGAGACTAGACGGCTTCGGATAGGAGGGGTGATCCAGTCTGATGAAGGGGCCGCGCCCCCAGAGTGCTGAAACCGATTGACACGATGTCTTAGCATGCCACAGTGTGGGATTATTGCCCACAGAACCTCGGTATCTGGGACTCCTCCATCTGCCCTATCCCTTCACTGTCCTGATGCGCACCTCCGAGTGGATGCCGTCTTTCAAGCGATCCTCGTGCTCCTCCTTCAACTTCTTGCTCGGCTTCCTTCTGTGACAGATCATGCTTCAGAGCCTGTTAGCTCTGGTCGTTGTGGTCCATGTTGCTTCACGCATCAAGGCCGGTGTTCGTACGGGTGGGTGGGTAGTGAGGGTAGTGAGCTGCAGCGGTGATGTTTAGACTTCGACATTAACGAACTTCGAAGCTTCCTTTGTGGGAGCAGGCGGACAGAACCTTCGGCTTCGCATAGACAGTTCATCATCTCCGATTTCCGATTTCTTTGCGAAAAGCCTAGCAGTTAGCCGGCCTAGCAACAACACGCAGCTGAGTCGTCCCCAAGCTTGCCAGACAGGTCCACCAGTTTCAGGCACATGATGGACCGCAAGCGAACTCCGCGCGGATAAACCAGCCAGGACGACGGGAGAACAACATAAGGGAATGCTGATGTCCTCCTAATTACTACAAATGCCATGGGCCGCACAACCCGGGCTACTTGCGGCTCCCTGTGCTGCCAGCAGCATATCACTAGCGAGAAAAGACCAGTGCGGAGTCAAGCCCTCGTCATGATTCCGGGGTTGGCATCTAAGAAAACAGCGTGTCTTGTGCACATGAAAAGATGCCCTTAAATTGGTCCGAATCGGTCCCAGGTAGTGAAAGCATCAGTTTCGAGGATGGTGCTCTCAAACCAGGTGTTAGCTACATCGGCCAGGACCAGCCGCTTTTGCTCGCAAAACAAGTTGCATCAATGCTTTACTGTACTTCGTGGATGAACCAGCAACCACAACGACAACAGCGATGTCGTCTTGGCTCTTGATTTTACGGTTGATAGAGCAGATTGGAGTAAATGACCATCGAACTCACTGCAGTAAAACTCCGTATGTCAAAGCGCTGCGGCTGGGTGGCTCCAGCTTCGCCAGCTCCTCGCCCGCTGTGAAGAGGCAGCCGGCGCGCAGGAGGTCGGCAATGCCTCTGAGTGATTGAGGACTATCCGACACCCGACCAACAGACACGGCGTGCAGTAGCAATGGTGGTATTGTGATCGTCGTGGTGGCGCCGACGGAGGTGGCGGTGGCGGGGGTGGGGTTGTGCCGGCTGGGGTATCGTTGTCGTCCAATTTCCGAAATCATCCCCTGCTTCGTGTGAAGCAGCCAGTGATCTGAGATGTAGCCAAGCAGTTCGAGCGGGCCAAGAAGGCTTGGCCCCAGGAGAACAATCAATCAAAAGATGGCCCTTCTGACGATTCTAAGCATACGACTAGTTCAAAGCAGTTTTGATCGGTCTGATGGCACACAAGAAGCTCAAAGTGCTGCAAGATCTCGCAAGCGCTGGTGGTAGGGTTGCATGCGAAATAGCATGAGACTTCTTGCAATCACGTGGGCTCAGGCTATAAGACTCCCAAGAGAACCCAACCTAAACCCCTTTCACAATTGTGCTCAAGTGAGTCTAGCCTAGCCAAACCTTCCACCCCTCGATCCTGATGACCGAGAAGCGGGCATGCAATCTCGAGATGTTGTCGGTTTGAGTCCATCCTAAACCCTACACCCTAAACTCTAAAGCCTCGAACCCACATCCTCGGTCTGTTCTTCCGAGAGACGGCTCTCTGGAGACTCCACTTTCTTGCACACGAGCTTGTGGGTCTGAGAGAGTGGTTTGCATCAAGGTACTATTATTGTTTTTGATACTATTACTCTTACTATTATTACTATGACGATTATTACTATTACTATTATTAATATTACCATTATAATTATTATTAGCATCACGGGCACTCAACAGCTTTGAAGGCAACCTGTAAGAATGTGCCTGTCGTGTTTGCTCCACCCCGGTTTTGTGAGTCGCCTCTTGCAAACAGCCCTTATACAATACAAAGATCTTAATCATAAGAAGATGGTTTGGGGGCCCATTGTACTATAATTATGGGGAACCCCGAAACAGTATAGGTAATTGCTTTAGGCCCCTATATACAGCCGGATGCTCGGTACCTGAGGTCCGTTGGTCCGTTGCTCAGAGTCACATTCTCAGCAACCCCCCCCCCTGTACGACAGTGCACGCAGCGCACAATAAGCAATAAGGATGGTAAACATCATGGCCAGGACAAGCCTGTTAGAAACTGCTGCCATCAGCCAGTATTCGGTTGTACGCTGCTACCACGAAATCGCTGCTTCCTGCCGGAGTCTATCTCAGCAAGCTGAGCCCCGCACCTTCCAATCCTTCCGCTGGCACTCTGCTGAACAGTAGGCCACCACTCCACACCGGCTGCATCTTAGGGGTCAAGATTATTCTCTGACCAGTCCCGTACTTGGACCGGAGGGAGAGACTTAGTATGTAGCCGCGAGGTAGCCTATGGGTGGGATCATGTAATATACTGACGTCTTACTCACAGTCATTGCCACTAGTTTTTAGTGCTTAACGAAGGTTAAGGTTGACGTAGTGAAGCAGTTGCATTTTCCTGCGCGATGCTCGGATCTGTCTGAATACAGGTTGCCGCGGCCCTCTTTCACCAAGCAATGACTTTGGCAAAAGTCCTGCCGCGACTATGGAAGAGGGCCGCTGTCTCAAATCACTTTGAACCAAGTGGCGACATAGACAGCATCCCCCAACCCGAATCCGAAACACCACGCAGCCCTAGTTGCTGAGTTGAGAAGCCCCAAACAGCGTATACTTTCAGTTCTTTATGAGATCACATTATCCCGACAAAGTGTAAAGCACCAAAAAGTCCAAGTCGCTGCTTCGTGCCGGGCAGCTCGCAGCCGGAACCCGCGCAAACCGACTCGCATGGGTTGGCCATGGCTGGATGCGCTTTCTCATGGCAGATGCTACTTCGAGGATCCGCCGGGGACTTAGTAAGTAGGGTTATAAGTACCTTAATTAAGGTTATAAGTAGATAGAACTATAGTTAACCCTGCTTACTAAGTCCCCTGACCCTTCAAGTTGGATCCTGTGGGTCTTTTCGGTCTTCTGGACTGAGGCTTGGGATCCGCTGTGTATAAGTGTGCTTCTGGACCTGAGGGTTCAGGCTTCAGATTTTCGTGCTGCTGGGTTTGGAGGTTGCTGTACTGCCAGGTCCATGATACGGGGGCATTAAATGAGGTAAAACAGATTTGCACCTTCCGCGCTCAGAACACACTGCAAAGCCCAAGCTAGCAATGCTGGTCGACCGGATTTACCGACAAAAATGCATCGCGAAATGCATGCTTTACAGAGGATTCCGCCGCATACCACCTCCACAACACACCGAGAAGAGGATAAGTTGTCTCGCTTGACGGTTAACAACGAACCCCTTCCGGAAGCTGCGATCGTCTGTCCCTGCAGCCGTTTTTCCTGTGGTCCCTTCTACAAAGAGGCTTTGCGGGGAAGACGGGAGCACGCACTGTCTTGAAGGCCCATGGGGGTGTTGCTCCTCTCCCAGGGCTGAGCTGTCGTGGCAAATCACGGGTCTTAGTTTTGTTCTGTGGAGAGTGCCAAGGTTTGGAGCGACCTTCGTCCCAGTATCTCCCCGGCCCTGACACAGAGACTTATGTCAGACTTCGAATCATCAAGACGGGAGCTACGCACGTTCTTGATGAGCCGCAAATCCACCAAGCTTCGCAAGCTAGCCTCAAGCCCTGTAGAGCCTCTGGTAAGACTCAGTAACCCGCACATTGCTGGAAGGTGCAGGCGCAGCTGGCTTCGGCTGGTGGATCTGCTGAAACCTCGGCGAGTGGCCACATGCCCGGGATAGCTAGCCCGCTGACCAAATTAGGTTTCTTCCGGGGGTTCGGTACAGGATTTGGGTCATATTTAAGCTTTCATGCCAGGTGTCTGTTTAGGCCGCCAACTCACGAGAACTGAAGGGTCATGCATTGTTTTGCTGTGAAAACGTGCCACGCCGTATTACAGTCCAACAAACCCGAGCAAGTGACTACGGCACGACTCCAGAAACACTGTGAACGTCACCAGTCCCCAATCTTCCCAAACAGAGCGTAAAATGTCTCTAAGCTGCGGGAGCAGTAGAGCTACCCGCAAGGGATCTAGCAAAGCATCCACATGAAAACATTGCCTCATACCCCTAAACACACCCATCACGGCACCAAGTTCGAGCTGTAGGGCTATAAGACCAAGCCCAGGCACATAGTCGTCATGGCCTGCATTTGCGCCTTAACGAGTCACGAAGCATGGACAGTTTTGGGTTCAGGGCCGCTCAGAGGTGACTACACCCCCCTATCATCCACTTAACGAGGAAAGATCAAAACCAAAGGAAACCATATCACATACTCTCATAATTACGATAGTATCATTTCCTTTAATAATACGATAATTAATATAGTATACTATGATAATAATTACAATAAGAAAAACTATATAGTAATCAAGACGAGCTGCAGCGAGGCTCATTTGTTCATAACCGGGGGGCACTGCTCCTGGTAACGTGGACATTGGCTAGGGTTTAGGGTTTCAGCACTCACTCTCGGACAAGCCTTGGCGAGGATTCCAGTCCCAGCGGCAGCACATTGGCCCAATCCCGGCCCATTAGTTAGAGGGTTTAGGGTCTAGGGTTGAGGGAAGAATTTGTCAATACAAGCACTGCGTAAAAAAGCGGCGCTTTCTGCACACATCTTCTCTAAGACAGGCGTGGAAGAGCCTGCCGCCATGGCATGCGGAGCGAACGCGCCTGGCTTCAGGGCGGAATGCGAGATGGGCTATGCCTTTTGCGCCGTGTCACGCTTTACACGCCTTGTCCACAGCAACCCAGGGACTCCAATATCCCTTAAATGGGGAATATACCTTAAATGATGTTTGGGATCCTGCTATCTTTAAGGCATATTCCCTGATTAAGGAATATTAGAGTCTCTGGATAGACGCCCAGGCTGCTGAGTTCTTTTTGCCTCACAGGCGACGGAGTCGGACATGCTGCACTACTGGTGGAAGTGTGTGACAGCAGGTTTGGGCGCAGCTACTGCAAGGTGTCGATGTCGGGCAGAAGCTGTCCCGTGGTCTTCTTTTTGAAGGTGCTGGCACTTCTGCCATTACGGAAAACGAGCTGGAAGGAGCCAGGGCCCGTAAGCTCCAAAACATCCGTGATGCCACTCCAGCTGACGGCCATGTGCTTCCTTGGCTGACTTCTGAACCCCTCCCAAGAGTTAAACTTTTGGCCTACTTATTTCATTGCCCTTTTGCACCGAACCAGAACCACAAGGTTTAGATCCACAGGGCTTTTTCGACACAGCTGGCTTTTAAAATCTTTTAAAAGCTTTTAAAGACTTTTAAAAACTTTAAAAGACATTTAAGAACTTTAAAAGACATTTAAAAACTTTAAAAGTCGTTTAAACAATTTAAAAGACATTCAAAAACTTTGAAAGACTTTTAAAAACTTTAGAAGACCTTTAAAAACTTTAAAAGACTTTTAACAACTTCAACAGATATTTAAATACTTTAAAAGACTTTTAAAAACGTTAAACGACTTTTAAAAACTTTAGAAAGCTTTTCAAAACTTTAAAAAATTTTAAAAAACTTTAAACAACTTTAAAAGACTTTTAAAAGCTTTTAAAGACAGAAATAACTTTGTTTTTACATTTTTATATAAGTTTTTTCCAAGAAGACGAGGATGAAGAAGACCTGGCACAGGGTTTAAAGTTTCAGGGTCTTTAGGGTTTGGGGTTAAAAGGCAGAGTGCCGTAGTATTAGGGTTTGAGGGTAATGAGAGGGTTTGGGTTAGAGTTTCAGGGTTTTAGGGTTTAGGGTTACAAGGCAGAGTGCCATGGTATAGGGTTTAAGGGTAATGGCTGAAAGGCAAAGTGCCAAAGTCTTCAATATGAATGGGATTCAGTTTTGGTAGTTATCTTGGAATGATCGTGGCTTGGCTTCGGGCTTTTGGTCGTGCCCACACCCCGCTAAACAGCTCCAGGTACTCCCACACCCTCCTACTGTACCACTACTGTACTACTGCTGTACAACTACTTTAATACTAGTGTACTACCACTTTACTACTACCCTCTTACAAGTATACTTCTGTACTACTATGGCACCGCTACAGTACTACGACGGTACTACTATTGTACTACTGTACTACTACTGCATTACTACCGTGCTAGTACTTGTACTACTACTGCACGACACACCGCTGCACTGCACCAGGCCTCAGACGTGGTCGAATGAAGGGGAGTGTAGGTTGGAGGCAAAAGTCTTCAGAGTGAAAGGTTTGCAGTTTTGGTAGTTCTCGTGGAGTGGCCGTGGGTTGGCTTCGACTGTTGGTCGTCCCCAAACCTCTCTAGACAGATCCAAGTACCCCTAAACCCTCGTACTGCACTGTAACTACTACTGTACGACTGTCGTACTACAGTACTACTGTTGTACTACTCTACCCTGTTGTACTACTACTGTACTACTACTGTACCGTACCGGACCTCAGACGTGGTCGATTGTGGAGGGGAGTGTAGGTTGGAGGCAAAAGTCTACAAAATGAAAGGCATTTTAGTGTTGGTAGTATCTTGGAGTGATCGGGGCTTTTGGTTTCCAGCCTTTGGTGATCCCCCAAAACCGTTAAACAGCTCCAAGTACACTTAAAAACCTCGTACCGTACTACTACTGTACTACTACTGCATTACTACTGTACTATTACATGCATTACTACTGGACTATTACGTTTATTCACCTGCGCATCATCGAGCTTCTTCTTGTATCTCTGCTACCTGTAATTTGGCGGCCGTGTAATAGCCACCCCCCCTCGACCAAAGGTTTTTGGCTTGAATAGTCTGGTGTCCGTGACCCCCTGGACCGGGGTTCGGCTGGCTGAGGGTCTGAATGGCTTTGGTTAAGTTAGAAGGGAAATGGGGGGTCGCAGGGTCGGTTTGAAACCTGCGCGAACGCCGCGGTCGGGGGGTTTGGGGATCACCAAAAACTTGAAACCAAGCCGAGATCACTCCAAGATAACTACCAACACTAAAAACCTTTCATGTTAAAGACTTTTGCCTCCAACCTAAACACCCCCACGATCGACCAAGTTTGAGGCCTGGTACGGTACAGTGGCGTGTAGTACAAAGTACAGTAGTACAGTAGCACAGTAGTACATTGGTGCAAAAGTAGTACAGTAGTAGCACAGTACAAGCACAGTAGTGTGTTCATCGACTCAAGCAGGGAGCGCCCCTGTAAACTTTGCTTTGTGTGGTGCTTTGTCTTTGCTCTTTATATGTTTTGCTGTTTGCTGTCGTATCTGGTATCTATATGTGCTTATAGGGTCATGGCTTTGAGTTTGGCGCGGGGGCGAGGCTGGCCTGGGAGGTGGGCTGATAAGGCGCAAGGGCGAGGGCTGGGGACCGGGCTCGGGACTTCATATTTTTTTTAAAAGACTAATTAATATTTAATGAGATTTAGTTAGATGTAGTAAGATGTTATTTGTTTTGTGTTCCTTTCTAACACTGATTAGATTTAATATAATCTCCCTGCAAAGAGACTCTCTATCTATCTATCCAAGAAAAGACGCTTCCACGGGGGGGGTCACTCGGGGGGGTCTCCCCCCCGCCCCCCCTGGGGGCCAAAACTACAAAGTTTGGATCAACAGGGCTTAGCAATAAGATTCAATAAGATTTTTCCGGGGCGTGCCACAATTGTACAAATGTCTTCTAAGATTCAATAAGATTCAATAAGATTTTTTGGGGTGGTCTGGAGTCGGTGTCCCTTTTAAACATGATGGACCAATAAGATTCAATAAGATTTAATAAGATTCAATAAGATTCAATAAGATTCAATAAGATTTAATAAGATTTAATAAGATTTAATAAGATTTTCCGGGGCGTGCCACAAGTGCCACAAATGTCTTCTAAGATTTTGCCGGGCCGATCTTCCAGAAAAGGCTTCATGATAAAATGCTGCTGGGGCTGGGGCTGGGGCTGCTCGGCTGGGGCTGCCTGCTGGGGCTGGGGCTGCGGGGGCTGCTGGGGCTGGGGCTGCGGCTGGGGCTGCTGGGGCTGGGGCGGTTGGGGCTGGGTGGGGTGGGTGAAGGGAGAAAAGGGTGTAGTCAAGGAGAGAGGGCCCGCCCCACCCGCCAGTCCCCCAGCCCATGCCTGCCTGCTTCCGCACTCCCTGGCCCTCTGTTTAATGCGGTATTTACAGGCTTTTTGCTCGGTGGCGGATCACTTCCGCCAGATTTTTGCCCGCAGATGTGTGGGATCCCTGGCCGTTGTTTTCACGCGGTATTTACAGGCTTTCCGCTCGGTTGCGGTTCACTTCCGCCAGATTTTGCTAACAGATGCGGTGGTGGGCTGGGGTTGGGGCCTGGGGCCCGCAAGGGGTGTCCCATTAGGTTTTACAGTAGCAGTGCAATAGTAGTACAGAAGTACAGTAGTAAGAGGGTAGTAGTAAAGTGGTACGTAGTACAGTAGGGGTACATTACGAGGGTGTGGGAGTACCTGGAGTTGTTTAGCGGGGTGTGGGCACGACCAAAATCCAAACCACGATCACTCCAAGATAGCACCACTAAAAGCCTTTCATGTTGAAAACTTTTTTCGTCCGCCTACACTCCTGTACAGCAGTGCATTAGTATTGTAGTAGTACAGTAGTAGGACAGTCGTAGAAGAGAAGTACAAAAAAATCAGTCGGCCCAACAAAGAACGCACTAATCATTAATGAGGCCACCATTTTTTGATACGGGCCCGAATAAGCACAGGAAACACGCATCAACTAGTCAGAAGGACCCTCACATTAACCTGTATTAGTGGGGTGATGCTATTAGTCAATTTAAGTATTCGCATGCGCTTGGCATGTTGCTACTTGTTTGTGTTTGCTTGGTGACTGTTTTGTGCAAGTCTGTTGTTGTGTGTCTTGGCCCAAAACTTCTTTACACAAAACGAATCACAACGTCGCCTCCTGCTTGGAAGCAAAACAAGATATAGAAAACCTGGCTCAGTCTGGTCAAGTTTGTTTCGGTAATGCTTTTTCAAAAAGGGAGAGCCCGGATTCAGGAAAAGCAATCCACACTGGGGTGATTGAGCCGGGGACTGGCCATCCCCCCAGCCCAGCCCCCCAGCCGACCCCACCCCCCCCACCCGACCCACCCCCTACTTTCGAGGGACACGCCTTGCGATTTGATGATTTTGCTATGGGGACAGGCACCGGACACCCCTTGCGAGCTGCGAGTTTTTAGACAGCCGTAGGGGGAGCCCTTGCGGTTCATGATTTGGGAACCTATTTTTAATACAAATCTGCGTGATTTGGGGATCTGCGTTTCGTCACTACTAATTACGGTACTACTATTGTACTACGTACTGCATTACTACTGTGCTATTACTTGTACTACTACTGTACGACACACCACTGCACCGCTCGAATCCATGTGGGGAAGGCATTTCAAAGGAAACCTTAAACCCTTAGAATCAATCACAACCCCCAACTTAAATTGATAAACAATTTTAAAAACAAACAAAACAAATTTGTAGAGGTAGAACAGCAGGAAGCCAGGTTGAACAGCAGGATGCCGTTTATCATTTGACGCAATCACAACCAAAAATGGTTAAATTGATGAAATAAGAATTTCAAAAACAAATAAACAACAAATTCGTAGACGCACAACAGCAGGAAACCAGGTAGAACAACAGGAAGCCACTTGACTCAATCACAACCAAACACTTATAATTCACAAGAATATAAACCTTAAAACCAAATAAAGACATTAAAAGA